TTAGATGAAGTTCAGAGCACATTTTATGACCAATTCATCCAAAACTCCATGTAATCCCAAGGGGTTCACATACTTTTTCTTGCAACTGTATACTAAAGGATACTCTAGGTATAGATCTAGATATACTAACCTCTTACAAAAACACCAACTGAGACTACTCACTTTATTTGCAATGAACAACAGTTGCTCCTTTCTCTCACAGAAAGGAGTCTTTAAGCTTTAAAGACAAAAGAACAGGTACTTTTAAATCTCAGCTGTAGATTTTCAATAGAGAAGGGATAAAATACCTATGATTCAACTCCTAATTCTTCCATAGAGAAGGGATAAAATACCTATGATTCAATTCCTAATTGATGTTAATGTTGTGGAAAACATTGCTTAATAATTAGCAATGTTGGTTACATTTTACATTTACAATGATACTATCTCAGTGCAGTGCTCAGAGACTGCAGATCTTTGCAGCCACATATTAATTAGATTTCTCTTGTGAGATCTCATAAGATGCTAACAGAGATATTCCCTGGGGAGAGGAATAGCCAGTTTCTCAACTTTTAAGATTTTTGTGATTAGACTGCCATAACTTTCCATAGGGAAGTGTCCTCAGAGAATCTTCAGAAGGTTTAGTGCAGGAGTGTCAAATTGGATTTCTTCAAGGGCCGGATCACATTGTAGTTCTTCTCCGCGGGCTGGCCAGGGGGTAGGGGGAGAGGGGACAGCCGCCTCCTGCAGCACTCTGCTGGCCAGAACAGGGCATGAAGACCCCCCTACCCCCATTTTGGCTTCCGGCAGCACCGTGGATCGCTCTTTTGCTATTTCCAGGCCAGCCCCGCAGGCCAGATTTAAGCACCCCTGGTTTAGTTGGGTCATCAGAGGTTGTTGTACTGCTGACTTCAGGAGCAGATCTATTGGCTGTTGGAATATTTAAGACAAATATTTAAAACGTATAGTTGAAAACCACCTGTCTTGGCATGACACAAGTTTCCCCCCATTCTTCATCTCTCAAAGTTTCCCAGAGTTTCTTGTAAGCAAGTAGCCTGTTTGGAGTTAATGCCTAGCCCTTCTGTTTTTGCATTCATTTTTCTAGCAGTTTTTCTGCCAGATTTTCATGTGATACAGCCTTTGTTCCTCAACAGTAGTGCTTTGTTTGGGATAACATACAAGTTTCCCTGGGATGCTCGGGTGGCTAACTGGGTGTTGGTTACTAGATGTCAAGGAAATGTAGGAAAATGGATTATTTTTGAAGCTGGAATCAGTTAACTTAAATTTAACTTTGGGGACGTAATTACATAGGTGACATGACAAAGTAGACATGATAGAAGGAAGCTCCTGCATTGCAAGTGTTAAACAACTGTGGTTTTCGCCTATTATCTTATTGTTCTCCTTGATCTGTTTGTAGGAAAATTCTACTGCAAACCTCACTACTGTTACAGACTTTCAGGTTATGCCCAGAGGAAGAGGCCAGCAGTGGGTCCATTGTCAGGAAAGGTAAGGTGGAGTTTTATTTTTTATTATTAACAGAGTTGCTTCTTGGTATTAAACATGGCTTTGAGTCGCTTGTAAGGGGAGGGTTAATTTTAAACCTTGCAGACTACGCAAGAATGTGTCAGTGGATGTAAAATTATACTTCCCTGTAGTCAAAATTGAAAATATCTTATAGAATCATAAAAATACTCTCCTTTACATTATTTCCCATATGCTCAAGCATTTCACAAAAGTGGAGTTTTTGAGTCAAAATCTGCAAGGCTGGCTGCTAATGAGTATGTCCTCCAAATGTTTTGGACTATCTCTTTCATAAAAGTGAGGCAAAATGGGCCGTGGAAAGGATTTATGGAAACTGTAAGCCAAAATACGTAGAAGACATCAGGATCTATACCTCAATCCAGAATATCAAGTCAACTAGATGAAGGAATAAATTAAAACAGTAACATGTTCATTTTTTCTCTATGGTTGACTTTATATTCTTTCTTTGCATTTAAAACTTTATATAATGTCAAATGGCCAAATCTGCATCTATAAATCCACGTTTTAGTTTGTTTGTTTATATATATTGTATGTATATATGTACGTACATAAGTATATCCACCTAAGATTTAAGGACTCCCTATCCTTTTAGCCTTCTGGAAGTTAATGAAAACTTGGCTGTTTCCACCAAGATTGGGTTAGGATGGGGTTGAGTCAGGGGGTCAATAGTATGATTGGTCTGTCACCTGATGAAAAGAGTTTATATTTTTTTTACTGGTTGCTGTAAGCTGTCTAGGATCCCTATGTAAGATAGGCAGCCACATACGTTCTTTAAATAAATAAAGATATAAGTGAAATAAGGAAATAAGTGATCATGTTATCTACCTATTATCCATGGAGCATTGATGATGAAGTGACTCGTGAATTATATTAGGGTGGCCAACTTCCAGCTCATGACTGGTTTCATCCCTAACCTTTTGCCAGTAGACGTTGTTAGCCATTCGCCATCTGATTCACAATCTGTCGCAGATTGTCTTTGCTGATGGATTGGATGGTGGTGGTTTGGGGGTTAAGAAACTGACGAAATGGACTTGTATGCATTTGTAGGCTGATGCAACCTAATAATAGGTTGTTGTCAAGCTCCTGCCCCCCCACCCTTCATTTTGAATGTCCTTCTGGTATCTTTGGATCAAAGAGCAGCTTTTGGTCAGTTTTGTCGTCTGGTAGAAGCAGCCTGTTTCCCAGCAATCTATTGAACATGGACGGGAGTGAAGGAAGTAGATGCAAAGACCAGAGTATATAGGAAAAAAAGGAATATCAATAGGAGACGAATGAGCTGGAGAAAGCTGAAGGAGTTGTAGGGTTTGATAAACAATCTTCAACTGTACGTTCTATTTCAATGAAACACACACAACCCTCCCCATAGCCAGCAGAGGACGATATGCCGAAAATCAGTTATCAGTTCCACAAAGCTGTCTTTGTTTTGAAGGAATCAAAAGTAATATAATGAATCAAATCATGATTAAGTAAGATCTCAGAAGCTCACCACTGCAAACACGTTCAGCTTTTTAAGCAAAACGGTGTCACCCTTTGTTCATTTGCATTTACCTACACTTGGGATGCGGTGGCTCAGTGGCTGAGACACCGAGCTTGTCGATCAGAAAGGTTAGCAGTTCGGTGGGTCGAATCCCTAGCGCCACATAACGGAGTGAACTGTTACTTGTCCCAGCTTATGCCATCCTAGCAATTCGAAAGCACGTAAAAATGCAAATAGAAAAATAGGAACCATCTTTGGTGGGATGGTAGCAGAGTTCCGTGCACCTTTGGTGTTTAGTCATGCCGGCCACATGACCATGGAGACATCTTTGGACAGCGCTGACTCTTCGGCTTTGAAAGGGAGATGAGCACCGCCCCCTAGAGTCGGGAACGACTAGCACATACAGTATGTGTGAGCAGAACATTTACCTTTACCTTATCTACACTTAACGTTGTCTATTTCCTTACGTTTTCCCCTCCCTCCAGGACAACAAAGGGACTGTACAGGACAACATGGCGGCTGATGGTGCAGGGCGTGCCAATTCCATCTCAGCCTCTTCAGAGAAGACCCCAGGTAGCTCTGCTTCCTTGTTTGGCAAGATGATGCGGTACTCGCTCTGCGTCTTTGGCAGAGTTAGGGAGGCAAGCCAGTTGCTGCAGGGCACATTTTCTTCCATTGGGTACCACATAGCCCAAAATCCTTTGGACTCCTTTTTCATGTGCCAGCTGGTAGCATTTGGAGTCCCCTTTCTCTATGTCCAGTCGGAGATCCTTGTGCAGATACTGGGAGAGTTTTTATCGGCACTAGGCTATTAACCACAGCATTGTAACCCTGATTTGTTTGGGGAGACGCTTGGGGACCAATATGTATATGAAGGGGGGGGAGGAGCAACGTAGTTTTAGATACAAATCTCTTAAAAAACGACCTTTAAAAATTATTGTTTTGAATCTGGTTCAGGTAAACACAGACAACCAGTTCATCATTTCCTTATGGTGGGTCCAGTTTTTCAAAAGAATTGATCTGTGAAATGGGTAACTGATGGATTATTTATGATGTTAGCGTTGCTTGAAAAGGCTTGGAATAATGGCTTCATTAATTAAATTTCTGTGTTTACCCAAACTCTTGACTACTGTATCCCTGTATCCCCTGACTCTCACTAATGTGGTACCCGAATAGCAAAACATCAAAACCTCACTGATAATCCTTCTTGATTTCTCTGACAGTTGAGTGGGTCCCCGTTGCCTTTAACTCTAGTGGGCTCTGAGGTCAACCAGCTCTCATCTCCTCTGCCTAAATATGGGGGCTTTGTGGTGGTCCAGGAATGGGCTGCCCAGTCAAAGTGCTATTGAGAGGATTCTGCTTGACCTTGACATGGATGCTTCCTTCAAGGAAGCGTTTTGTGCCAAAAATGTTCATGTCGCTAGGCTGTTCTTTTGAACCGCTGGTAACCAAACTGGAAGGAAACCTGAAGGAAAATCGGAATGGATTTAGTTCTGGGTCTGGAAAACTGTGGGCCTATTTAGTTTATGGCCAACATTTGGGAATGAAGCCATGATGGTTTGGCCTTCGAATGAATATTTAAAAGACATTAAGACTTTCTTTTTTTTAATGCATGAACAAATTGTAATTGCATGACTTGAGTCTTGGGGTTTTCCATTAATGTAATTGCTTAATTATTGAGTGAATCCCTTAAAAGGAGTTTAAACCTAGTAGTCCAGACAAATATTGAAAGGGCAGGCTTAATTTAAATTGGTTATTTGATAGGACAATTTAGGTAATTTGCAAGTGGAGCAAATTGACTATGAACTAGATTTCTAATAACGCTAGGGAGCTTCTGACTTATTTTTCTCAGTTTAATTTGAGTTAATGGCTGGTGTAGATTCTTCAGAAGCTACTTAACCTGTTCCCTGCTAGTCAGGAGAGAAAATTGACATCTGTCATTTTCGTGACTGTCTGCACAGTAGAGTGGCATTTCAGTAGTGAGTGATAAGTATAAGAAATATATATATATATATATATATATATATATANGCACCTAGTAAGGTTCCATGACTGACAGTGAATTCATTCCCAATCCAACACCTTAAATACTGCATTACCTGTACTAAAATAAGGAGCAGAATCTTGTTGTCAACAAGCCTTCCAATTCACAGACTTAGTAGTCTATGCATAATTTTATATAATATATTTATGTGTGTATGTGTCTATATACATTTATTATGTGCGCACGCGCACATGCGCACACACACACACATAGACACAGACACAGACACACACAGACACAGACACAGACGTACGTACGTATGTACGTACGCACACACACACACTAAATATATATATATATATATACACGCTACACTAAGCAACTAGAGAGTACTTTATATATTAACTAGAGAGTACTTTATATATTTATAGTGTGGCTTCAGGGGTCAAATAGCTATTTTGCTAATATGTGTGTTTTTACATGTTTGAATTATAGAAGTAATATTATAAGCATCCTACTAAACTGATTATAGCAATAATTAAAGCATGAATTAATCCTGTGCTTTGTGGTATAAATGCTTTATGACTTTTGGTGATAGTTAAAGTTATTCCAAATCATCGCCTACCAGCGTGGACTCAGAGCTGAGGAAATGTTGAATTTTATCTAGGTCAGACTGGACATCTTAGGATTTTTCAGACCTAGCTTGTTTCCAAAAAAAACAGGTCTTGCAAAAATCTTGTGCAAATCTTGAATTGCTATCAAGAATAAACTGGAATTAAAGCAAATTGGCATTTTGAAGTGTGCAAACTATTTCTGATTTTCAAGAGAAAGTGGCAGGGGGATTACTAATATATTAGAAATGCTGGACAAACTCTGTACCTCCTACTAATTTATGTTTGTGGTCAGCTGTCCATTCCAAGCTCTTGGTTCAGAGTGGGCCAGGGCATGAGGGTGGTGTGTTGCTCTTTTGTTGTTTGCATGTTTCAAGCAAGTTAGCATTCAATGTTTGCTTGGTTACTATGGAATTTTAAATCTCTACTTTCCCTTGTCTATTAGCTAAGAAGAGAATTTTACTGTAATTCAGGCATGTGGTTTAATAGATAAAATAGGTACGTCCTGTAAATTATTATTCGTTTTCTTGGCACACGTATCCCTTCCACTTTACGGATTGTGTTATTGTCATTAGAATATAATTCTAGGTCAAAGATTATCATTCACCGAACTTAAAGAAATACCAATACATTTAGCACAGCTATTACATCAACATATTTCCTCTTCATGGCTGCTTCTGATTTTCAAAGGCCCCTGAAATTGTTTTCCGTGAATTGCTTTTGATGTTCCTGCTATCTGGAGACATTTGACTGTCAAAGGTTGCAGGCTTTCCTGCTGGTCCAAGAGTGATGAAAGCCACAACTGGTGCTTTCTACACTTGAACTCTGACGTATTTATTGCAGTCCTTGTATTAAACCTTTCTTTGTACCCTCCTGGGACTCTTGTGCCAAATAACCGCTTTACTTTTTCCTATATGATGCAGTTGCTGCTGTTGCCAATTAAAACTATGAAAGTCCTTGCTTTTCAGTGGTTATCTCCTGTAATCGTTGCCTGCCTCATGCATTTTTTTGATTGTTTTACAGTGAGTGTTAATTTTTAAAATATGTATTTTTAAATACACAAATGTTATTCCTTGTTTGTAAAATGTTCTAAAATATGTTGATTGTCCCAAGAGTCTAGTTCAGAGTTCCCAACCTGATGTCTTCCAGATGTATCCTCTAGAACAGGGGTCTCCAAGCTTCGCAACTTTGAAGATCTGTGGACTTCAACTCCCAGAATTCCCCAGCCGGTAATTGAAGTCCACAAGTCTTAAAGTTGCCAAGTTTGGAGATCCCTGTTGTAGAACTGCCAGTCAATATATGGTCAGTGATGATCCAGCACATCTAGAAAACATCAGATTGAGGGAAGCATATTTCTGAGGCATGGAACGGTCTCATAGAAGTAATGAAACTATGGCAATTTTCTTTTCATGAAAAACCTGAATTGTTAACCTGCATAATCCAGGATATCTCCCATGATTAAAAAAAAACACACACGAACGTTTACTTTATTTTTTGAAACCAATATTCTTACTTATGAGACAGAAGTAGTTGACTCCCTTTGGTTTAAGAAGTTAAAATACTGTTCAAGTAATTATGATCTTTCTCAAACTTATGTCCCCAAGATTAATTAAACTACCATCTCTTTTGTTTCCAAGTACTTCAGTTATTAGTTATTCTGGCTCGTGATGATGGGAGGTATAATTCAGTAATGTGGGGGCACTAGTGGACTACTCAACACACTGGCCAAGATACTTGGGTCACTAGGAAATTAATCTTTACATTCATAGATTATGATCTGGATATATATTTAATCACATAATGAGGGCAGTATTCTAAGCAGAGATTTTATAAAGCTGCATACCTACTGCATAATGGGATGGAGATCTCTGCTTCTTGATATTCTTGAATGAGCATTGATTGAATTCCTAGTGCCTAGTTGTTAGGCATTTGCTAAAGGATAGAAAAGGGATAGAATGCTAGAACGGGTGAAGGATTCTAGTTTTAGCTGTCGGTTGTAGAACAAAACTTTGGATAATTCACCAAAATTATCAGAGATGGTTCCTAAACTCACATGGTTTAAACAAACCAAACTTACGTTTCTACAAACAAATTGATTAATCCAGTGTATAGCCATAGAATTGAAGCTTTAAGAGTTGTTGATAATCAAGCGGCATACAAATTTAATAAATTACTAGGTTCACAATCTAAGACTGTCCCAACCGAGGAGGCCAGAATTATTAATATAGCATCTAAGAATAAAGGGAAGTCCAAGCAGGGTAAGGTTTTTTTTTTTTTTGTAAAATTAAGGTGTTCAGAGCTGATAAATTCAATATTTTCATATACCAAGGAAACCCTTTAGGTATCACTCTGAGATCACCAATCAATTATTATCGTTAATTTAGCTCACTGCTGAAACTTGATAATTGTATTTTTAAATAGCAACATAGCTGTAATAAGGAATTAATGACACATGCTCCATGCACTATATGCACACATATAGTAAATGATCCTTACAAATTCCATTCCTTTCTTAAAGGCAGGAGGTCTTGATTAAAAAAAAAGTTTTTACTACTGTACATGATTTTTGTGTGCTGATAATTCAATATACTAAACTTGGGTTTGGTTAATTTAAGTTTTTCACCAAGGATTAAATGTCTGTGTTTGTTACTTAAATCAATTGCCAACTTTAAGTAGAAGATAAAGCTACATACAGTACAATACTGCATTGTCATACAGTACAAATAGACTTCTCTAGGACCTGCATTGCTGACCTGAAGTTCACTATGCCAAAAAACTCAACTTGAAACATTTATTTGTCCAGCCTCAATTTCTGTATTAGTGATACCAGTTTTACATTAGCGTAGCACATATTTCACCCAATTGACCATTAAATTAATGAAATATTTGGAATATGCAAAACAATTTTGCAGAAGTGTGACAAATCCTTTAAAATATCTATATATCTATATATCTATATATATATTATTGTACCTGGC